TACTTCTTAAATCGTGGCTTATTTAGTAGTTACAACAAATTTAAGTCCTAATATGACATTTCTGGGTGAATAACAGAAATATTGGACAACTGTTCTGTGTGAACATTCTCTGACCTTGTTATACTTAGCTTTTCTACTGACTTATACTAATCACAACCATAAAACTTTTCGGATATAAATAATAAATATATTTTCATGATGTATGACTGGTCGAAGTGGGATGGCTTATTGATTCTCATTCGATATTGATAATTCAAAGCATTTCACTGGATATTAGGTACACCTACCTATGCATATAAACTTTAATTAGCATACATTTATTTATTTGAACTTCGTAGATTAGTAAAACCATTGTAATTCTTGAATTTTTGTCATTTACGCAGTGGGTTTTTGTCAATCTTTATTTGTGTTATGTTTGACATTCTTACGACTGCGAAATACTTGACTGAATTGTGCTTGACCCTGAATCCGACGATGCGTAGTGAAAACCAAAGACTGTTGATAATGATTTATTTGATTCATAAATGATAAGTGAATACACCACTTTTATATGATTTGCTTACAGTTAGACTTGTGTAAATTGAATTGTGCAGTATTTAACACTGATTAATATGGCATTTATACGAACTAATGATTCCTTTGTAGTTGATTGCGCGCTTATTACGAATTACAAATATAATATGTTCATTTGTGCCCATCTAGTTCGATCTGACTTAAATTGCAATATTTCGGGAAATCGTAGTTAACACATTAATTCGAATACTTTTAATTATCACAATTAATCAATAACTTATTATATGAATACTCATTTGGAATATCATTCTGATCGGTTTCACACCGACTAAACTTTGTTCATTTAATTCTGTCTTACCAATTTGTCTATTTTCCACGTTTATCCACAAAGCAAACATGAGCTGCTTAAATTCCCTTGTAAGAATTAATGATACTACTCGTCTACGAATATCAAAGCGAAGTGAAAGTTAATATCTCAACCATCAAGTCACTGCTTTACAGTGAGTTCGGTATGTATATGATCTATTTATCTGATTTATCGTTAATCCTTCAAAAGGCTTCTCATATTGGTATCACTCCTTGATGAACTTGAGATATGTATAATCCGTCTAACGGATTTATTGTTAATTATTCTGTCGTCCTACCGGAGACGTGGCTTTGCACTTTAGAGGCGTCCCAGTGATTCTTAGATTTCAATTACTATTTTATTTAGGTCAGTCAGTCGTGTAAACTATAAATTGTTTCTTCGCCTAAAACTACTAGCTAAATTTTTTTATATAATTTTAGTGCTAAATGGACGTAACTTAGAGAAAGATGTTGACAATGAAACTACACATCATTTTAAACGTATATGTATTGCTTTGCTGCAAGCAAATAGAGATGAATCTACATTTGTAGATACGAATCTTGTACGGAGAGACGCGGAAGATCTATATAGAGCAGGGGAGCAAAAAATAGGAACAGACGAATCAAAGTAAGTGTATTATTTTCTAAGTCACTATCAGTATAATGAAATGATCTTATAAATTTTCAGTATTCTGAATTAAGAAAAAGGATTAACTGACATAAATAGGATTCTTATACCATTGTATATGTAATTGTGACCACTCACAATTATAAATCAGAGTTCATTTTAATTGAATTTGACTTTCTGTAACTGAAAGCACGCTCTAATCATTAATGATTTGTGATATAATAGAGAATTATAACGGGATTAATGTTGATAAATCTTGTTGATTGAACGCTATATTCCTTTCCTAAGCTATTCTGGTAACCCGCAAGCTAGAACTACACATCGACTTGAACACCAGAGAGAAGACACAAAGTATGAGAGAAATGCTTTACTCCAAGGTTCACTTTTGTACAGAAAAACACGGGTATTTATATATGTTAACATTTGTTAAATCAACACCATATTTCGGCCAATCCGTTAACGACATATTATGCTACTGATTAATATTAACACGCCACGTTGGAATTCTGGAAAGCTCCATCATGCTCTGACTGGCTAGGACTCTTCGGCTCCTTTTGGGCCTCTGGAGGCTCCGTTGAAGTTCTCGGAAAGCCGACTAAACACCTCCCCCGAGTAAGATTTTTCCTAGGATCTACTTGTAGCTTGTCGTGTCCCTTGTCCAAGGCTTCTTTTTGGTGTGCTTGGGTATGTGTAGCATTGGTGTATCTAAGATTAGCTCTAACGGAAAATTCCGCCGGTTATTTCGAGAAAGGATCGTTATTTTGTCCTTATAGATTTGATTTATGTGTCGTGTACATGTTCCAAAAGTTCCTCGAACTCTGTACAGTACTTTTCCCAATTTTCGTTCATTTTCTCCTGGCTTACATCGGTTCTTCCCGATGTAGGATTTAATGAAAACTTTGTCGCCAACATTGAAGTTCCGGATATTTGGATTGTGTTTGTGTTCATTCACTAATTTGGATGGCAACATGGCGTTGAAAACAGTTCGAATACGCTTTCCGAGCATGGCTTCAGCAAGATACTTGCCATCTGGAACATTCGGGTTCGGGGTGGACCTGTGGGATGTTAAAAATTTTGTGATGATCTGTCCAGTCTTCCCTTCGCCTCCCACTTTCAGTAGTGCTCGTTTAAAGGTGTCCACAAAGCGTTCTGCTTGTCCGTTTGATTGCCGATGATAGGATGGAGAACGAAGATGAGTTATTCCGTTTGCCCTACAGAAATGCTTAAACGATTCTGCGGCGAATGCGAGCCGTTGTCCGTTACTAAGGTCTCTGGAACACCGAAGCAGCTAAACAGGGTGGACAACTCTTGGATTGTTTCTGACGTTGTACAATTTAGCATGGTATATACTTCCCGCCATTTAGTAGATGCATCTACGATGATTAGAAACATTTTTCCTTTGATTGGACCGGCAAAATCTGCGTGAAGTCTTACCCAGAGTCCTGCAGGCTGAAGATAGCACATGCATTCAGTGTTTGACAACGCTTTCACCAGTAACATCTAATATAACTCGTACCCACCAACAGAAATCAAAAGACAGAATCGAGGAGATCGGAAGAGTGTATTTGGCGATAACCAATATATCGGAATTCTCTGATCTAATCTGGTTAGCGATTGAGGTAGATGTTGAGCATGGCGTTCCCACACGCGATCTGGTGCGGATGCCTGATCGAGCGCCCTCAGCTAGGTGAGTCCACTAAAACTAATCCGGTCAGCATCCAATGTCGAAAACTTACAGAGCTATTTATTTTGGGGATTTATTTACCGCTACAAGGCGTTGGCCAATACTGATGTTCGCATTTCAAAGGATTTTTAGCGGCTTGAATGCATGATGGACAGTTATGGCATTTATTCTCGATATCTTTGTCCACTGACGGCCAGTAAGCATAACTACGAGCCAACGATTTCATTTTATTGATTCCAGGATGGCCACTGTGAAACTACTTGAGAACCTTGTGACGTAATGACTTCGGAATAACAGTTCGATCGCCGAACATAATACACGAGTCGACAACCATTAGTGAGTCCCGTCGACGAAAATATTGCAAAATTTCCCTGTCAAGGCGATTGTCTGGCCATTCGGTCGAATGACAGCATTTAACTGTGCTCAATGTCTTATCACCTTCAGTGATCTTCTTGACAGTTTCAAAGGTTACTGGGAGTTCACTGATTGCATCACCCAACACGCGATGAACTTCTTTCTCAGCTTTTATATTTGCTACAAGAGTTAGGAGATCTTTGCTTCCATCAGATACCGGAATTTGTAGATACGCGTCTGATAAATCCGATTTCGCAAAAAACCTGCCACCGTTCAGCTTAATGGAAAGATCTTCCGGTAGGGGTAACGGATACTGGTGAGACTCTATAGCTTCTTTTAATCCCGTTGAGTAGTCTGCACATAGACGGACGCTTCCATTCGACTTCGTGACCAACACCCATTTCCTGAAGTCCTTGTAATCCTTGTTCAACTATTCGAAGAGCAGCATACGGTACAGGTCTTCTGGGTCGAAAGACGGGAGTAGCTGCAAGTTTTAGGGTTAACAATGCTTTGACCTTCGTACAATCCCCCAATCCCTCTTTAAACACGTTTTGGTGTCTTTGTAGCACTGCGTTTCTAAGGCTCCACTCTAAGGTGTTGTCAGTTCTGATTCGTCTGCAGATGCTGTTAGAAGAATGGTCTGCTAGTTTAAGTGTTTTTATAAGACCTAACCCCATTAAGTCGAGTGCTGGATTCTTTGTAAGATATACTGTTGCATTCGTTGTTATAGTACCTTTAGAAACAGTGCATGGCACTGTGCCAGTTGTATTGTTGGGAAAACTGTGGGTCTTCCAATTTTCTTGGCTGATTAAGGTGATATCGGAAGCTGTATCAAGCTGAAGGCGAGTACGGTGTTTATCAATAACTAAGGCTACGTACTTTCTTTGGCGGCAATTTCGTGCTTGATTATGTGATACCAATATTCCTTTTGTTAATACGCCAAACCTGTATTTCTCGAAGTAGGGTTTTGCAGAATATTGTTTATGGTTTTTTTTCTGAAGCTGGTTTCTATATGACCCTTCCGATGACACTTACTGCAACAATGTTCTTTATACGGGCAGAACCTTTTATAGCCCAGACAACCCAAAAAGGGGAAATAAAGGCGAACAAAGGGGAAATAAAGGGGTAAATGCTATGGTAGCGAAAGGGGAAATAAAGGGGAAAACGCGCCAGAATGTCGCCTTTTTCGCCTGTCCGGGGGAAATAATGCGGATTTTCCCCTTTTTCGCCTTTTTGTCGACAAATTACGGACTTATCGCCTAAATATCCGCTGAATTGTCTACTTTTCGCCTAAATATCCGCTGAATTGTCTACTTTTCGCCTAAATATCCGCTGAATTGTCTACTTTTCGCCTAAATATCCGCTGAATTATCGCATTTTCGCCTAAATATCCGCTGAATTGTCGCATTTTCGCCTAAATATCCGCCGAATTGTCGCCTAAATATCCGCTGAATTGTCTACTTTTCGCCTACATTTCCTACTTATGCGCTTAGTTTTCTACTTTTCACCTAAATACACACATTACCTCCTATTTTCCATCCATCGACAGAACCCCAAACGTCTCCTATGTTCGCCTTTATTTTCAACCACAGACGAAAATATATCTGCCATGCAGTTGAAAAGTGGTAAATTTTTTAAAAATTTTATTGAAAAGGAAAAGCGTATTATTGTACAACACTAGAGCAGAAGCTTAAGCATCGATTGTTTTGCATATCCAATGCAATTGCTAATTCATTGTTATTTGAAATTATCTGAAAAAAAAGGAACAGGTTTTTATTTATTTATAAGGAATGTGCACTTAATCAAAAGTTCAATGACACTAAAACACACATTCTTAACACTTCAACAGTTTCCCACGTAAGTAAAAGAGTAAGCTGTTTGAAAGAATGTTTATTGAAATCGAGGTAACACATCAAATCAATTGCACGGACTATTGAGAATTGAGGTAGTCGTCCTGTGAATTCTAAATAAACAAAAAAAGAAAAAAAGTCATAACCGTATCTCAATGAAATGCTTTGGCACAGCCAAATACTTGAAGCTGAACTTACGGTTATGTTCGTTAATATTGTTGACTGTAACTATAGAGCCGTAGGGAGGTTATCACTTTAAATTAGTACATACCTGGTCTTGTTTTCTTCTATTACGCTTCATCATCTTGTCTCGGATATCGTGAAAGTAACCTTGTGTCGCGATGTCATAGAGCTTACCAAGGTCTTTTTCGTTGACAGATGATGACAGAAAGCGATGAGTTAAGGCACCTGAAGTTTAAGTAATAGATATAGGTTACTTCGTATGCAGCCGTAAAACGTGCATTTCTGAAGTGCTCGTTTGGAAGAGGTGCCAAGTAACGTGAATTTACTGGCAACCTCAGGTGTCAACAGATACGACAGAACAAACCGCATCGACGTTTTTGGATCGTCACTTGATAACCTAGTGACCATTGCCATCTGTAATTGTAACAAATTATTAAATTCATGTTAATGACTTACAAATCTGTCTCTGGTTTCTTTCTGCGACAAACCAGTATCCAGCATCTGTAGTTCCTCTTCCGATGACAAAGGGAAATGCTGACTTGACAGTCCGCAATCGAAGTGATGCGGTCTTTCGCGCTCATTCGACTTTGAAAGCAATTGCTTTACATTAATGCTCAAATCGGAAATGGCTGTTGACATATTCTGCAACCTTTGACTGAAGTCATTCATAGTTGACGAAATGTTTTGCACCATTGCATGCAAGCTATCTAACCTGAAAAAGTCCACTTGATAATGCAGGTGACTTACTGGTCTGCTGAAGCACCATGGACACGCTTTGATGCAGATGTAGACGGGGATGTCTGTAATTGCGTCGAACTAATTTTTGAACATGTAAACAGTCATGAAACTTACTTAGCAATAGGCGAAACTAATTTGTCAAACAGCCTGAATTTGGGATATTTAATATAACTATTGCCAGCCTGCATTTCACCAACATCCATGTCGACTGAATTGTAAACGTATTCTTGTTTACGCTTCATGGCAGCTCTAGGAAATGTTAGTAAGATTATTGTACAAACCTCTTGGGCTTCTCAGTGTTATGTGGCAGAGTGTTTTCATCCGTTGGAGTGTTTTCAAGTTGAGATTGCAGTATTTGCAGGGAAGCTAACAGATCTTTTGCAGACTGCAGAGATTCTATAGTGAATTATAGTTTCCATGATTGTAGCTTACCTAATTCATGAATAACTTTAAATTTCATAAGTGACCAATTGTCATTAGGTTGGTCGCACTTCTGAAGGTGTATATCGACCATCTCATTCGGATAAGCGCAAAGGTCATTGCCAACTATCCAGTCCTTTGATGCTATCATAAGTTGTTTTGTTTTTAGGGCGTTAACAATAACGTATTTCTTGTTAGTGGGCTGAAAAGAACATAAGACGTAAGTAAATGCTTTATCATCATTAATTAAACACTAATGAAACGAAATGCATTTACAATAAAGTATGCAACAATGGGATTACAACTATGTAATTCGTACAATTGATGGCTATACATTTACAATCAATGTCCTTAACTGAAACCCATGTGTATTCATGGCTAACTACGGAACACATAAAGATTCCAATATCACTAGATGGGAAAGGATCTTCAAAGTAATTGCGTGGGTCAATGAAAGTCCTAAATTTTAGTAATCCATCCTCCTTTATGTCAGTAACTAAACCGGGCTGGCCGTTAACTACTACTACATTATCCGGTTTATATGAACTTATTTTGCTATTGTTAAACATAATTACTTGTTTAATGGAGACATCATTAGCGCCTATTGTGGTAGTATTTGTTAAACCACTAATTTGAAGCCTATCCCTGAAGGACATTCTCTCAGCATAACGCTGTGCTGCTTGCTTAGCTACTGCAAACCCACCACGCACGGAATCCTTAATTTGTCTCATATAAGACTTGAATGGAAAGGCTGAAAAACTATCTAAAGGTCCATGTGCACGAACGTCGTCAGGGAGGTGCTGTAACGAATGCACATTGTAAACTAAGTTTTCACACCCATAACACCAGGCGTATTCATTTAGGAAGTTTAGTAAATCTAATTTGGCGGTTTCTACAACATTTTTATGTAATTTCGGATGTGCAAGCAGATACATGGATAACGCTAAACGCCGGAAATTCAGATAAAAAGGTTGTGGCAATGTTTTTTCAAGAATCACCGGGCCTAAATACAGAAGAAACAACCTACATTCAGAAGCTTTCCATGCCGATACAAAGTCTAGTGTACGGCATTTACGGGGAAAGTCAGAAGGAGTACTTGCCACACAACCCGTTATTGACACTTGTCAACCTCTACATGACCAGCATGGAGATGATGGTTTGTCGCTGTCATTACGATAATTCTGCGTGCTGGAACCTTGTGAGACTTTTCTCTCGACTGCATTGACGTTAGGGAAACGGTTACCGTTCTCTACCATTGAGGTATCATGCTTCAAGTGCACTGACCTTTGGGTCTAAACTGAACATCCCAGCTGTTGTACGGAAGTCAACTAGTGATCTGGTAGCACAGTCTACCCCCGATAACGTCCTTCTGATCATCAAAGAGCCAAGGATTCATAAACGTGCTCCGACCCCCAAACAACAAGGTGCTAAACCTGCAGGTGTGTTCGTGAACGCACCGGAAAACCTGGGACAACAATAACGGTTCGTGATGACTCTCTCATTGTCATGAACTTCAAAGACAATCCTGACCTTCCTCTCAGTTTACAGGACAAAACTGATAGGATGCTCTGGGGAGAATTGAACAAGAATACAGCCTTTGACAGTCACACGTCTCACTCGGGGAAAGGAATCTAAGCATCAAAATCACCCGAGGCTACTTCGTGTAACACTTAAGAATGCTACCGACGTAGAGGGTGTCTTACTAGCGAGTCATTTACTGAAATCAGATGGGAATGTAAGAATACTGCCTGACATATCGTATTCTGAGCGCAATCTTATCCGGAACAGTCTTCAGTAATAAGGATAGGAGGTCTGTCGACCTATATTAATCCTTGCAGTTTGCAATACTGTGGAGGTCCAATCTCGTTTTGAATATATTAACAGATGATGCTGATATTACGTGTTCCGGTAGAGAATTCCAGTAATTCACTACTCGGTGAGAGAAACGGAACTCCAGACGTAAACGGTTTGATCTCGGTTTTTGAACTTTCTTCGAATGTCCTCTCAAATGATCGGTTCTAGACGGAAGCAAAGATAAGACATGTTAATACCAAGGTCATCGTTCAGTATACGATAGGCCAATATTAGATCACCCCTTATTCTACGGTAAGATAACGGAAATAAGTTAAGGTGTCTCAGTCTGTCTTCATAAGATAGGCCAGATAGACCTTGTACCATCTTAGTACCTCGTCGTTGGACTCTTTCTAGCATATCTGCTTCATATTTGGAACAAGGACACGGTGCTTGAATCCCGTATTCTAAATGTGGTTGCACATAAATCGGGTATAGTAATCTAAACATTTCATCATCTAAATACTGGAAAGACCTACGAATTGACCATAATACCCTATAGCATTTCGCAGCAGCAGCTTTACAGTGACTGGTCGTTTTGAGATCATTGCTTAATATGACTCCTAAATCTTTATAGTTCCTTACTTTGGGTAGCACGAATCCACGTAGTGTATAGTCATACGATTCATCAGAGTTATTTAACTGCATCACTACACTCTTATTAGGATTTACTTCTAGTGACCACCTATCTAACCATGCCATCCCCAAAGAATCTCGCGATCTGTTTTTCCGCGGGAGGAATATAACCGTGCAAGGTATACCGGAAAATACGGACCCTACTCAATCAAAGACTGACATCAGGGAATGGAAATTCATCAGACAGTCCTTGAGGCTCGAAAACATACTGACTCAGCATGTGACGAGACTAGCCAAGAAGGACGGTGATTCTAGACCCCGTCTAACGAAGATAACCTTCCCATCTTCACACATGGCGGCCGCAACCCTGGAAGCATTTCGTCTCAACAGACTTCGGTTGCCAACTGGAATCCACATGCACCCGGATAGGCCATACGAAGCTAAGACCAAACACCAAGGCAAGTTGGAGCTGACCATTCCACTTGTGGACTGTCTAGACGATAAAAAAACGTGTAAAAGACAGGGCCTACCACCTCGGCGAACCTCATATAAGTGGGCTACCTGTCCATTCACGTAAGGCTCATTCAGACAAACAGGACGAAGCTCACGCGTTCCAAATTGAAAGCATAAACTGCTTATATATGAACGCCGCGAGTCTACCAAACAAATTGGATGAATTACGTGAACTTAGCAACGCTAATAAGGTCCGTCTGATAGGAATATCTGAAACCTGGATATCTTCTCAGTTCTTGGACCAAGAGTTAGTATTATCTGGGATGCTTTTGTTCCTCAACGACAGAAAATCAGGAATCGGGGACGGAGTAGCCGTATACATACGTTCTTGCTTGGAGATGCACCAAGTTCATAACCTCGAGTTTAACAATCTTAAGGAATCCATATGGTGCTCTGTAAGATTGTCTAGTACTTCGAGGTGTCTAGTCGGAGTCATTTACAGGAAGCCAACTGCCGACATCGAGTACGATAGTCGTATGTTGGAAGGGCTACCCCGCTCTACTCGTCTCGGTTTCACACACATCCTGTTTCTAGGGGACTTTAATCACCCTATAGTCAACTTCGCGGAACACACGTATACTGGAGGCGACAACTCAATTGAAGCTCGGTTCTTCAACCTCATTGATGACTTGGGATTATACGAAAATGTGAGGTCGGCAACTCGTTGGAGAAACAGTCAGACACCATCGCGCTTAGACTGTGTATTCACAAATGAAGAATTCCTATTTGACAACCTCTCAATCCTAGCTCCCCTGGGAAAAAGCGATCATGCCGTCATAGCCTTCAGTTTTGTCAGCAAAAATAAGCTAAGATATCCCACCAATAACTTCTGTTGGAATTTTAAACGGTTGAATGTGCCAGCTTCACACGACTATCTACAACAGGTGGTTTTGGATGTTCACCCCCAACTCGATGTGGACGGTCATTGAGACTTTTTACTGCACACGCTCTTACGTGCTACAAACCATTCAGTTCCTCAAACGGTCTCCCATAGCTATCAGCAACCCACAATCATCATCTCTTCGCCTGCTAGGCCACAAAAGGCACTGTTGGGCGGAATACAAACGAACTGACAACGACGGAGCGTACAGGCAATATTGTAGATCACCAACGTAGATGATCTACGTCGAAATGATTAGAGGCCTACTCCAGTTAGACGTGAATGGTATGACGAACCAACTAACGTCGAAGTCACACCTCGTGGTCAGCACCTTACGTGGACTACCCCCATTGACGTAACAAGGTACTATAGATGCTTTGAAGACTGTATAACACAAAGGACGTTATTACAGAAATATATTAGTTAAGGTAGATACAGGCGAAAGTAAGACCACTGCCGCATGGGCCAGTCCATGGCGTATGATTAACTAATGCGCGTTTGTAGTACATGACCTTGGCAGGGAGCGACGATCTGTTCGACATTCAGTGATCCAACTGCCGGATGATTTGGCTAGGGCTCAGTGACATTTCACTGGCCCTACAATACTCCCCCACCAGATTCAGCGGCCGTTTGAATCGGTACCAAACATGTTGGGAGCAATCGCGCGCCGGAGAGTGCCAAACGAATATTATAAATTCCCCAGGTATTGCTTATCTGTAAAACAAATGGAAAGGAGGCGGCAGAAACTGGTCGGGAAACAGCGAGTCATAATATGTTAGTAGGACGTTGCTTAAACGTAAATTGATTAACCATAGAAATAATGAAAAGAACAAAGCGTTTAACTGTTCTATCAAGTCGCGCTGAAATATATAGCTTTGACAAGCAATTCAGTTCCTCCGATGACAAACGTTAAGTCTGTCGCAAGAGTAATGATGCTATAGCGATAGTAGGATAAGTGTATTATCAATCGATATCCATATTTGTACTGTCATTAGTTTAAAGTTGTAAGTCGGACAGTGTCGTTGACAGCTATTAATTAGCGTCAAATTCTAGTTATATCTATATCTAACAGACTAACCGTAAGTACAGAAGTATAACCGTGAAGAGTGGTCGTGATTTCATTGTGCGAATCTATTGACCAACTTGTAGTCACAGTTTGAAAAATCGATGACTGCTGCTACAATCAGTAAGCGTTGAAGGCTACAAATCGACAGCAAAGGTGGCATGATGAAGTCTCTAAAAGATGATAAACGGTGAATGCTGCGTGTTTGTTCGGTTAGTGAACAGAAAAATATCGAAATGAACATAAGAAACCAAGAGTGTCACTCTGGACTCATGTCAATGATACCCGTGAAAAACGCTGTCAGTGTTGGGATAGAGGCGACAATATCGTTTTCAGTTTGCAGGAGATTCGCTCGACTGCATAAACTGATGATTCGCGCGAATGATATTGTCGTCAGACCACCAATTGAACTGGACAGGTTGTAAATCGTCGAGTAGTTGAACAGCCGATTGATGTACCGGAATCATCTGTTAAATAACAGCCACGAGGACACAATGCTTCATAAAATAAAGTACGACATCGAAGTAGAATAACTACAATAGTTCAGATGTGTTACAATGTCAAGTCTAAATAACATCGTTCTTACGTATACTGACAGTTGCACTGAACGTTCGTTTAGGTATTATTAGCGTAACTGTTGGATGTGTGAATAAAAGCATATACGAAAACTACGGTTGGGTTCGTGGAGAATTTTCGAGGACGTTTAGATATTTTCCAAACCCGTATCGCATGTAAATAAACCCAAAATAGAATTAAAATGACTGTCGTGTAATAAAGAAATCGAGCCATGATTTACCGTGTGAATTAATAGCAAATACAAGGGGTATAATAAACATTAATTAAAATGGTAACCACCAATGTAACTAAGGTTTAGAGGGTCCAGGTAACGTGGCCGTTTCGTAAAAGGCTGATACAAAGAGCTTATTACCTAGCGTTAAGTGACATATTAAGTACGACAACGTGTGTACTTGGGACATGGACTAAGCGTGCTCGTGTACATGCAATATGTTTTACCACAGTATGTCGACTAACGAGTCATAAATGTACATGATTTCGACTAAAACTTGACGGCAGTGACAGAATATATGACTGGTTTACGTGAAAACAACTACGAAATGTTATCACGCATCATAAATATAGTGCGAAATAATCTAATGAAATTATGAAACTCGCCTGGGTTACTCTTGCCTCTAAGTAATGAAGTAGGCAGTAGTTTGAATCTGGATTGTGTACGAGGTACTGTTGATTAAATTTTTCGATTAACACAGCATTGTAGATTGAATCGGTTTAAGTCCAGAATTAATTTAAGCCGAATACATAGCATTACCTGACGAACAGTCTAAACGAGATCTAAGATCGCAGGAAATTTATAGTTCAAACTCACCGTAAATTTCTAGCATTCGTATCCTCTGTTTGGCCATGGAACTCAGCAATTGGAAATTAGGCAGGCAGTGGTAAAAAAAGGCAAAACATTCTAGTGGATAGTGGTTAAGCAGAAAGATGAATTTATAGTCGATAGTTAATCTTGTCTTATTTATACCAGTGAATAAGTTACAAACAGATGTGCGTTCGTGTTGCCTTGTGGCTATAATCACGAGTGGTTGATATTTTAACAGACATATTACACAGGAGCATTTACATGCTGCTAATGCTTGTTAAAGAACCACGATAGCCGATTATAATCGTAGTTGATTGGTTAGTTCTGTCGATTGAACTAAGTATTTAAGTTTAAATACTAATCAACATTGACATGAAGCAACGAAAGTTCACAGTGATAGATTAACATAGGCGATGATACAAATGAAAAAGAATAAGTATAGAATACAATAATAAAGATTATAGTGATAGGTTGCGTTACTCGAAGTCTTGCTCACCAGTGTAGATCACCAACGTAGATGATCTACGTCGAAATGATTAGAGGCCTACTCCAGTTAGACGTGAATGGTATGACGAACCAACTAACGTCGAAGTCACACCTCGTGGTCAGCACCTTACGTGGACTACCCCCATTGACGTAACAAGGTACTATAGATGCTTTGAAGACTGTATAACACAAAGGACGTTATTACAGAAATATATTAGTTAAGGTAGATACAGGCGAAAGTAAGACCACTGCCGCATGGGCCAGTCCATGGCGTATGATTAACTAATGCGCGTTTGTAGTACATGACCTTGGCAGGGAGCGACGATCTGTTCGACATTCAGTGATCCAACTGCCGGATGATTTGGCTAGGGCTCAGTGACATTTCACTGGCCCTACAATATAAACATATAAGGAACATATGCACGAAGGCTATAAGAGGAGATAGGCTTCAGTACCAGACAAAGCTTATGGAAAAATTTGCCTCTAATTCTAAAAGCTTGTTCCGTTATGCAGCCTCTCTTCGTCAAGCCAAAACTGGAGTTTCTCAACTGCTAGGTCTTAACGGCCCGACCAACAACGATGGCCACGCCGCTAACCTTCTGGCTGAACATTACTCCCAGACATTTCAACCGACCGACATTAACTTTACTGATGATAGTTTCGTTTGCAATTCCACAGAACTTTCCGAAGTGAACCTAAGCGCCGACTTGGTGTTCCGGAAACTGAAGCACTTAAGAATAGACACTTCTCCTGGTCCGGACATGGTCCATTCTACCATACTGAGGGAAGTAGCCTCAATCTTGGCAACAGCGCTTAGCGTAATGTTCTCACACTCGCTAAGCCGAGGAAAACTACCGGAAAATTGGAAGCTGGCTCACATCACACCAGTTTTCAAAGGAGGTCGACGCAGCGAACCTTCACGTTACCGACCGGTGGCTCTTCTCTCTATACCTTCAAAAATCATGGAGTCCCTGATATGCTATGGCATAAATGACTATTTACTGTCCTTAAATTTCTTCTCACCCCAACAGCATGGTTTTAGGAAGGGCTACTCTTGTATAACCAACCTGCTGACTGGGGTGGACAGATGGACAAGCATCCTCGATCGCAAAGTGAAGGTTGACATCATCTACCTAGATTCCTCAAAACCTTTTGATAAGGTTAACCATACATATCTTATCAATAAGCTCAAACGACTGGGTATCAGATTACCTCTAACCGATTGGCTCACTTCATACCTGAAAAATCGACATTTTAAGGTCAGGATTAATTTCACTTTATCTCAGGTTATGGAATGTCCTAGTGCGGTCCCCCAGGGCTCAGTACTAGGACCTCGTCTCTTCTTGATCTACATAAATGGTCTTCCTCAACAGGTAATGTCAGACTTGTTAATTTTTGCCGATGACGTGAAACTTTGGAGAGAGAGATCCACAACCAAGACTATATACAGGTACTTCAGGAGGATCTGACTCGACTTTAAAGTTGGGCAGACGATAACGGACTTACCTTTAACACTTCAAAGTGTAAAAGTAGTCCATCTGCGACATGTCGCAGACTACAGTTATAACTTGAGAAACTCCTCTCTAGTAGTATCCCAAGTCGAAAAAGATTCAGGAGTCCTGGTGCCCTACGATTTAAAGTCTTATGCTAACTGTGACAAAAATGCCTTCCGAGCAAACCTTGCACTGGTAACATTGAAGCGCATTTTTGGACAGTTTGACGGAGGAACTTTCTATATAATCTTCAATAGTTTTATCCGAAAGGATAAGGACACCCTGGAGCGTATCCAACGGCGAGCCACGAAATCAGTTCGAGGACTCAAATCTAAACCTTACGAAGAGCGCCTCCATTCACTTAACCTTTACTCATTAGAGTATAGACGTCTTAGAGGTGACCTGCTGGCTTACAGTATCCTTAACACTTCTGGACATCCTCTCAAACACCTACTTAAACATTGTTCCAACACTAACCTAAGAGGTAACACCCAGAAACTGAAGACACAACATAGCAGAACAGACTGTAGACACAACTTCTACTCCTTAAGAGTTGTCAAATGTTGGAATTCGCTGCCGAGCTAGTCCAAGCGACTTCCCAGGAGTCCTTTAAGAGGCAACTTGATCTATTCTTAAGGACTAAGGATAGTATCACACTATGATTTACTAATTTCTTTTCCTCTTTTATTGTTAACATACCTAGGTTCCTGCCTGGAGGATTTGGTGATCCCCTGCTACTAGACACTGAAGGCTGTTAAGCGAAAGCTTCTTCTATTCAGTCCACAACCATTTGAAACATTTGACTAGGTAGTTGCTTCCTGCAGTCTCGTGGATTCTTCGGGAGAATGAAGTTGCTATAGCGTCCATGTTCCATAGTCCCAAGTTTTCTCAGACGTATTCTGACTTCTGAAGCGTCACCCAGTTTGCAAAGATCAATATAAAACAAATCTTTATACTTCTTAAACCAAGAATTAAAAGTTAAACCTGCTACACCATCAAAATTAAATTCATGGATGGCGTTACTGATTGAATCAGTGTGAGATACTTGTGATTCGCCAAAAGCAAGGTTTTGCTGGGACAGGCAGAATTTTTGCATCAAGGCTTCCATGATTCTGATTTGGGATTGTTCAAACCTCTTTTCTTGACGCTCAATATAAGCTTCTAGCTGCTCCAAAGAAATATTCATTGTAGTTTTCCCCATCGCCACTGATAAGTCTTGTTGATTGAACGCTATATTTCTTTCTTAAGCTATTTCGGTAACCCGCACTCTAGAAATACACATCGACTTGAACACCAGAGAGAAGACACAAAGTATGAGAGAAATGCTTTACTCCAAGGTTCACTTTTGTACAGAAAAACACGGGTATTTATATATGTTAACATTTGTTAAATCAACACCATATTTCGGCCAATCCGTTAACGACATATTATGCTACTGACCAATAATAGCAAGTGTCACCAAGACTGAAGTAACTAAACGTGAATCAAATATATTCGATTCAATTACAACTGACTGACAATGGATTTAGAAGGCCATAATGCAATACAAATTATGTACAGTCCATCCCAATCTCCCTATTTCGGGGTTTTTGTGCCATTTTCCCAAAAGTTTCTGTAGCGGCTTCTCCATAATAGGGAGATTGGGATAGTTCTATCACATTAGTCGCCTTTTTTACTTTATACGTGTTTCAGTCCCAAAATCGTACAAGGGCAGTAAGAACACTATTATCGAATTAAATAAGTGTCATCCCCCAATAAATGAATGCCAGTTTGGTTAATTACACAACACCGATTTTTTTATGATCAACACTTAAAAGCAACCTTTTTATATCTGTACATATTAGATTCATTCACATCCTGGTTACGCGATCCTATGCTCACTTACGAGCTGTATTCAATGAATATACATCACTTGGCAAGCGTAATATGGAAGATGCTTTAAAATCAGAAATGCATGGGCACACACTCAGTGCCTTACTGTCTATTGGTAAGTAATGCTAACCACCATTTTTTTCTAACATAAATTATGAGCTGACAGATAATGATGACCAAATAATTTAAAATTATTTGATGAAATCTTTAATCACTAGAGTATTGAATGGTAGTTGTATTTAAGTTAAACTATTGTTAGCAGTGGATAGATAAAATCTTTGAATTGAATAATCACTATATGTTGTTCATTATTTAAATTTCATTTCAGTTCGTTGTATACAAAATAAGCCACGATATTTTGCAGCGAAATTATTAAAAGCTATGAAAGGTGCTGGAACAGATGACAGGACCCTTATTCGTATTATTGTATCTCGTTGTGAAGTTGATATGGGACAAATTAAAAAAGAGTTTCATGGTTTAAAAGGGAAAACATTAGAGGCATGCATACACGTAAGTGCGAACGACATTTGTTGAGTGAATATATATATAATCTACAGACCATTTTGCCGACTTTTCAGGAGGGTTACGTATAGATTGTGCAATCCCTTATGTAGCTACAGATTAAGTGTAAAAGCAAACTGATCTGCATCCAGAACGATTCCTGACTTAATCAGTGCTTGTATTGGAAAACAAATGATATGCAGACTTCGAGGTAACCGTTCGTGCTGCACAAGTTTGGGCGTCCCTAATTTCGCTCTCATTCTCCGCTTATTCAACTCCACTTTGTCTGATAACTTATACTACTTATTCAGTAACCAGTTCCATGTTCAATAGCCTATGAGCATATGATGTAACTTATGTTTGTTGTGCAATACTCCTAAGTACTTATATAAATTAATATTTACCTTACTCATTATCGTAATTACATCTTCATAACACTTGCAACAGTTAAACTCAGTTTCCCTGAATTCGTTGGATATCTTTTTAAACTCAACACCTTCCATAATTTTGTGTTCGTAGTCTCCGTTTGATTGTTGATAGCCATTATTAACTTTAGACACAGTTACCGGCTGCAATTTACACTATCATATGTTGTAATACATCTTTATGAAGTGACAGTGTTATGACTGTGTGCAGCAGATTAGAGGGCAGCTTATTATCGATCGGACCAAAGACGTGTAAACACGTAAGAACGGCCTAGAGTTCTGATTGGTCCCGCTTCCCTGTTTAGCCCAGCCAGTTGAGTCCAGAACGCAAGTCTCCGCCTCTGAGATATGAATCATTATATTTCAAGCATACCGAGTTTATATATCAATCAAACCGACCACAACGTATCAATAAAATATGAAACAACATTTGTACAAGAATTAGCCAGATGTGGCTGTGAATGAGGAAGGTAGCGATTAACAGACAGGGAATAGTTCATGAATGGTAAATCGTTTAATAATAGTTCATAGGTCGAAATAAAGCTCATAATAAGAGGGGCATGAATATGAACAGTTTAGTTACGAAACAATTATACGATAAAAACATACTCATAATATTGGTCCATAAATGGATCCCAAAAACTACCACTCATTATTCTTATCGGGATACAACAGATAGCAGGAAGCGGTATCTCTCGAATAGATATAGACACATTAACCCCCACAGATGCTTCATCAGTTGGGTTTGTAACTAATTCACATATATTTTATATCAATAGGACTGTTCTTTAGGTAAGTCCTCGTTTTCAACTTGGATTCCACGAGTACTTCAGTTAGGTTGTTCAACAAAATTGACCGTGTTAGTATAGTGCCACTGTAACAATCATCATGCCCTGATTACTGATATGTACCTAATTATTCGTAAGAATAATTCAATAACTCTTGAATCTCACTCTGTTTAGTCACACAACTGTCACATTGTAAAGCTGCACTACAGATGCATAACCGTAACAGGGGAATTTGGAGACAATGTCAAATCTACTGAACCACCACCAAGTTTTCTCATAACAATAATACTGAACATAATTCAAAGTTGAATAATGAACTTATGAGTTCAGTCCACTTAGCTGATTGACTGGAAATAATCAACTAAGGCAAAATACATACGTGACCGAATTACAGAAAGTAAGCAGCTCCTCACCTTCAAAATAAGTTTATCACTAACTATAAATAAAGAATCAAACGTTCTTATCGTATTTGAAAGTTGACAATATAAGAAGGCTGCACTACTTACCAAATGATTATAGATGTGCGTCTTTGTCTTACATAAGGATACTATCAGGTAACTTGAATTTATGTTGGAAGAAAAAACAGACACTTAGGCCAGTAGTTGAAGAAAACCCATAAACTACTATCATTTCGACTTTGTTACCTTTCACCTTTTTATATCACTCTGCTGATATGAAGAGCGGAAAACTAGACCGATATTAAATTATACCTGACCCAAACATATAAAAACAATCCCTACTGTATTACTTGTGTAGTAAAATTTATCATCAAATTAAATGTGGGACTAACATTTTAAATTTATATTTTTATAAATTTTTAACCGGTTCAAATGTAGACAATTGATGGTAACTCATTAGAATTAAACGGTATAAATTTGTTTATTCCTCACTCTCTGTAGGATGAAACGTCAAGAGATTATCGTCGTCTATTACTGGCGCTTATAGGAGCATGATCTCGAATACGATTTTATTTACATTGAATAAAGCTGTCAATAATGAATCAGTTCTTAAAAACATGTTAATGAGTATTTCTAAAGATATATTTCATAGCTACAGCTCTCTACTTTAATTAACACAAGTATTCCGCTATTCTAACAAAAACTGCGCTATGAGAGAATATTTTAAAGTTATTTAATCGTTTTATCTACTATCCCACTTTTTTACGTTCACAACATTCCATAATCAGATATTTTTATTTTATTGCTAATTTTTATACAAACAAAGTGGTTTGCTTTGAGATGGACGGATTTTTTTCAACGTTTTAGTTAAAGGGTGAATGAAGTAAAGGGTTTTGATAAAATATTACAGATAGTAACTAATGCGATTGCATGGATATAATGACCTGAGGGTGGTTAGTTAGACTGTCGCTCAGAAATGATCGCTGAAAAACTTCCGTTTGTATTTTCCCATTCACTTTTTGAGTTAAATTTGTTCATTGATGAGAAAAGACAAACAACAGTCCAACCTGTACTGATTATACGGTGGATACCAGCTTGGGATGAATAGTACTCATGAACTGCTTGGACTTGGTAAACACGAAATACGCGCTGCATGATCATTATCTTAAATCCCCCCTTCTCATTACAATATCAAAACATACAGTCAGAGGTCAGCCGAAGAAAACGGGTATAAAATGCCATGTTAAAATAATAAGACCTACGAAGGTAACCTTGTTAAAAAAAGCGCTGACCAGATACCCTTAGGGAGTTGAAGAATCTTCATTTAAAAGAGTCATGACGCCCCAACGTGGAAGCCGAGAATCATTACTGAACAAACAATCGAATGGAACTCATGACTATACATCGAATTCCTTTACTATGAGGAAGCGTTTTACAGCGTGGATAGGACCTTATGGAACCATCTTCGGCACTATGGTGTACTTGAGAAAATCGTCAATATCATACGAATTCATACAACAGACCACACTGCAAAGTCATGCATGGAGGACAGCCGACAGATATATTCCATGTGAGGATCAGAGTCAGACAAGACTACTTAATCTCTCCTTTTCTCTTTCTTCTGGTAATTGATTTGATTATGAAGAACTCGACATGAGGGAAGCACTAAATACAGTAGACAGCTTGTATGCAACTATACGATTTAGAATTTGCAGATCACCTAGCCCTTCTATCCCATACACACCGACAAATGCAGACGGGGACAACTAGTATAGCAGCAGCCTCTTCAAAAGTAGGCTTCAACATGCACAAAGGAAAAAGTTCCTAAAATACAACACAGTGAGCGCCAACCAAATCATACTTGATGGAGATCTGGAATTAGAAACTTCAACACACCCGGGCAGCAACACTGACAAACGAGGGGAATTCGATGCAGATATGAAAGCACGGACCGACAAGGGCAGCATTTCTATAAGCGACGAGCATCAGGAACTCCAAACACTTCCCAGTCAACGCCAAAATCAGAATATTCAAAACAAATCTATTGTACGGAGCTGAGATGTGGAGAGCAACCACAGCTACCATCAGGGAAGTACATGTATTTGTAAACAGTCGTCTACCCAAGATAGTCCAGACCCACTGGTCAGACACCATCAACAACAAACAAGATCCCAGCTGAAGAAATTAGGTAAAAACGCGAGGGGGATAGGGCACGTAGCAGAAACCACCAAACTGAGTCACGAGGTAAGTCCCAACGTGGAATCCTGAAGGCGAAAGGAAAAGCTGACCAAAGAACACGTCCCGCCGCGAATCGTAGGCAGACACCAAAAGAATATCACTTGTGAACAACTGGGAAAGAAACCCTAGGACAGAGATGGTTGAAGAACCTTGGCCGGCGGTTCACGAGGGGTGACAGACGTAAGTGAGGGCGACGTATCAGAAACAAGGTCATCGGAACAGATTGGCCTAGTGTTTGTACAATAATTTTTTTTAAACCAACTACATAAAGTAATCGCTGTTTTCCAGAATGGCAAAGAAAACTTTACATTTAAACTATCTAGCTCAAAGGACACACTACCATCTGAGTCATAAATCTTCTACACTATTTCATACGTAGCATACCTTGGAAAGCACTGTCTGGTCTAACCCATACATACACCAACAAAAATTGGAGTTGAGATGTTTATGTAAACCGACTAGCCTCACATCAAATCGGTAAAGTTTTCGAAATTTCATGTAAGACAAATGTCACCCTATTTCGTTTCCAGTACATAATAAAACTACCCTATTTACGCCCATTTTGTTGACGATTCTTATTACTGATGTGAGGTGTGACTATTTGGAATATTAATATTCGCACTAAATCCTCCAACCTTTCAGTATACATTTAGGTAAGCTCGATTATTTTCTTATTAGGAATTATATGTGCTTAGAGCCCCGTCATGTAACCATCATATACAATGGCTTCAGGCATATTAAGATGAACTGTTTATGTCTATGGAAACTACTTTTGTCGCTTTGAAAAACAATCAAAGATGACTATTTGGCTTGTAAATTTCTGTTGGTTCCTCGAGAGAGCGTAACAAGGGACAGGACCGACCAACCCAATGTAATGGACTTCTGAGAACCAGGTAGGCACTAAGTTGAAGTACAAATTTTAGGATCGCGTAAATATTTTTATTGCTCAATAAACCTCCTTTACTTTTCCCTACGAATTTCAGGGTCAATTCGAGGTACTGGTTTTCAATCAAGAGACGTAGTACATAACTACCTGCTTCATATGGGTTTCTAGGATGCTTAAGTGTCCTGTACAAAAGCACATTGATTTCACGGCGCCATTGTTATCAAATGTTTTATACAGGCATAATTCTCCCTTTGTATTGCTTTGGTGTTAGTACTCTAATCACTAGCATTTTAGGACTTCTGACGATGAGGTAAGCTAAGAAACAACTAAAATGGAGGATGGTGAGTCTAACTTACATGCCAACACAGATCCCGATTTCTAGATGACCCTCCACACTCAGCTTCAAAGTCCGATAAGAAAACCGGACGACCACGTGGAGAAACTGTAAAATGTTACACAAATGCAGTTTGTGTCAATCCACTTTACTGTATCACATGTTGGAACGCTACCAGATCTCTAGTAAAATGTAAAGCGACCAAACATACATCCTTTCCACGTGTAACTATAACATGCCCGGAACCACGAGCTCTGGCCTAAATACTTGAAAATGAGTAAATATGCAGCCGTTTGGTATACTCTTGTTTAACCATGCTAGGAGCAGATGTTGTCTAGTAGGAAAGAACGAGTTATGGGGAAATTTGACTCGACTTTTCGAACAAGTTTCCTATAAGACCAGTCTATTGAGAAAGGGGATATTACACCCAGTAGTTTGGTAATAAAGCCTTGGAAAGGATGACATATATTCTTTTTAAAGTCTAAAGCACTTACTCATATGAGAACTACCTACCTCAATCTCGCAGTCATCGATGTGTTAGGTTAGTGGTATCAAAACTCAAGAAACAAGAATAGGTTCTAAAACTCCGCCATAAGTTGCTTTTGCAATCAACTGAACTGTCAGGTCCTAAAAGAATTAATTCCGAATATATAAACCACATGACCACAAACTTCAACAAACCGACGTGGATTACAATGAGACTCTACCTATTGAACACTGACTTTAACAAGTCACCATGCACCATTCCAATGCCATACTAAGCCCGAAAAGTGTGATAACGCATACTTTAAGCTTTCACATGGTGATTATTAGTTGTAACATAACCCAGTATTCAAGCACGGGCTACCTAATTATATGTTGAAATAAAAAGATACCACCCAAATACGATAGAGCCTGGAACTCACATTAGAAGCGCGTAATAAAATATCTTCAAGAATTATAATATTGAAGGAAATGCGTAGCAGAAATTTTGACAAGTCATCATCTATGAATGTCACTTAGACAACAGGGAAATGTATACATAGTTATGGGAGGGTAATCTTTAGTTACAATCCACCAGTTTGTGCCTGGAAAACTTCGACGGTATCATTTTCTTCCATTTCCAACTAAAAATTTAATGTGAACCATAAGGTTGACTTACCGAGCCAGGAGTATCAGTTTCATGAACGCTATTTCCATCGAAAAAAAACCGCACAGCAGACTGATTAACGCCCTAAAGGAGATTGAGTATATGCTGACCAAATGTTTACCAGTCGATCGCAATAAGCAGTAATTAATTTCTTGAAAGGTGTGCTTTTCCGTATCTTGAAGTGAATAATTGACCCTTCTTGTCCTTGCACTTTGATGTTAATGTGCTCTGAAGGAGCTTCCTGAATTACATAAGAAAATCTTTGGTTACCATCATCAGGAAAATAGTATTTATATCGCAAAAATGCCTACCTTATTGGCACTATCAGTCATCCCGACAAACTTTCCCTAACAGTTTAAAAGAATCTGCTCAAACAAACGCTATCTCTCTCTGTCGTCCAATGTACAATAGGTTCAAAATATGTTGAATATTAATAATAGTGTTTTAAAGGCTATTCATTTGTCCTGTATTTCAAAGTACCACCGATTATTGCAAATTATGTCGAAACTACTTCAAGTACTAAAGTTAATCTGTAACTAACCGAATTTTTATTCAGTAAACTGAACAATGTTCCAGTTCTGTTCAAAATCACTTGAGTAGCATTTATCTAGGGAGATAAAGAGTTTGATTTCCGAGAGCGACATATGTCAGAGAAAATCTAACACAATGTCTCAATAATGGGCGAGTAAATGACTTAGGTATTCAACTGCTGTTGCCCCAACCCTTTTGAAAGTTATCTAATGGTTCATACACTGTGAGTTTGGACGAAGTTGCATATGCCATGACTATGCTGTTGTTGGGACTGGCTGCTCACAAATCACTCAGCAGTCTGGTTGAGGGTATCGTGAGGACTTGATGATTGGTGTGGAGTAGAATTAATATGTGATAAAAATAAAATGAACAGATGAGTGGAATGATGGTAAGTAAAATAGTTTAAACTAGGTAAAGATTAAACCTATGTTATCAAGCCACTTGTGAAGAGAACAAAAAAATTAGGAGTGTTCATAATTCTAACTGGAAGGTATAATTAATTTTCCAGAACTCTCTTGCATCGGTTTGGTGAAACTGCTGTGTTCTCGTCGACTGAGACGGCATTCCAGGGACCACACTGCTTTTGTCTAACTAAGTGATTTCTTGCCTGAATGTTCTCTCTTCGATGAATGATTCGTGAATTCGATAACAACTCCCCTCTTAATCATCGTCGCTTTCTCCCTCGTTTATCTTCAATTCAACAAAATGGAAGATACTTGGACATCATTACTATCCGATTCCGTCATATCGATTGTATCCTCACACCACATCCTTTGAGAAGCTATTGTGATATGTATATTCACTGATTTTTGTAACGACAAAATAAAGACCTTATTTTTCTTTATTTTTCACACATAATATGTAATCACATTTATATCCATTATCAATTGTTTCTCTGTATCAATGGTAAGATGAAACGGATATAGTTGTTTGATTCTTTCGTGCCTTAAGGTAACCCTCGTGCTATTGATAGAAGAAACCAGACAAGTAGTGAATAGGTCTTTATTTCGATCTTAGCGCAGTCACAGTGGAGCGTGGGACTATCTGTTCAGACAAACAAAGGCCCTCAACATTCAATATAAGATAATAGGGAATATAACGCTTATGCAAAACAAAGAAGTGAATGAATACTTGAACAATACTGTTTCGGCATATGCTTGGTTGTTTGGGGTCAACTCTTAACCAACCAACCTAAGCTGTTACAATTCTACTTACACACTACCGCGATTACTAAGAATATATCTGTAATCGGTTCTTCTGCTTTATTGGCCAAGGCCTGTGGTTGAAGATTATAGTAGTGTTACAGTATTCTTTAAGGTCAATCTATATTAAGTTGGAGTATTGGCCCTTATTATTATTCGAAATTTTCTGTCGGGCTTAATCATTCTCGCTACGGCGTTGGTGCCACCACGTTCAAAGAAACATTGGTTAGTCAAATGAACTAACCTGTGATTATCTCAGAGAAGCAGCTTACAAGCAACATTCATTCCAAAACAATAGTTGTCATTTCTGTTATTTAATATACTATTTGTACCGTAAATGTTGCTTGTGACTTTTCTGCTTTGCTCATAGGTACATAGGTTTGTAGTGTCAATTTTTCGGTATACTATTAGTAACTCTGAGTATTGTTGTATCTTGAGTAGGCTCTTTTGCTGGGATCCATCACAAGGCCTAGTCTGTAATCTTCTTTGCGTGTGTGTGTGGGCGGGAATCCGCACATATACATTTTCTGTGACTATAACACTTTGTTTTACCTTTCCGTTCAGCCAAACTCTTACTAATCCCTTCATTTATGTTCATCACCATTTTGTTTCGTATGAGATTGCTGTTAGCATTTGTTCACAATGATGGTTATTCAATCGTACTTTTGCTGTTGTATAATATGTCTTTGTTTTAGTTTTCATCGTAACCAACTAAAGGTTTTAGCTACTGCCTCATCGATATCACATAACTGCATAAGTCAGTGTTGTCTTACTGGTATCCTACTTGTCAGGAATACACTTCCTCCTTGACAAATAACTGATTTTGATATTTAGTGTTTTAATTATTTGATGCAACATAAATTTGGTCGTATGAAGTCTCCAGGTCAATTGTTGGCCATGTAACTTAGTACCCATATTGTTTAGGCACTTTAAATATCTTGATATTACATCTGTGCTTAGTCAGTTTAGTAAATATTAAAAAATGATTGTGGCTTGAGTTTCTTTGCAGTTGATTACGGTTTGATCACATGGATAAGGTGGATATAAAGAAAGGAACAGGAACTCTAGGAGTTTTGGTCACTAAGTAATCTTTCTTGTTAATGGCTAACTAATATAAGGGGCGATTTTAAACATTTTGCTAAGATACAAGATTAACGATCAAGACTAAAGAACCAAAGTAACGCTATATACTACTTTATTCAACGCGGTTACAAGCAGTCACAGTCAGTAATTTCGGAGTAGAAATCAATGATAGGAAGGGAAATCACAGGTTTAATGGTCAAAAGACTAAGTGCTTGTTTGTTTCTGCTCAGTTACCAACCACATTTTACTATCGATACCACAAACGAGTAACTGAAGTCATTTAGTTAGCCGGACCATTGAAAAATGATCGTGGTCCCAAATATCGTTGCATCCAAACGGAAGAACACCCAACAGACTATTCAAATAGTCTAGACTAACTACGATGGGGAGCGTTCATTTTGTTCAAACAAGTAGTAGACGGTGCGCAGAAGGATGTTCACTAAATTTATTGGAGCTTTTTGGTCGCGTAGCGTTGCCGCTAGCCAGTATACAAACACTGTATTCGGCTTGTGCTTGGTTACTGGTTTGTGTCGTTAGATAAATATCCAAAATAAAAAGCTCTGTAAGTCTTCTGCATTTGATGCTGACCCCAATAGTTTTACTGGACACATGCTAGGTTGGTTCTTGTCACGCATCCACACCAGACCACAAGTGGGTACGCCGTGCTATGCATCTCTTACAACCGTTAGCCAGCTTAGAATAAATGCTTCACGATATACCACTGTAAGATCCATTTTGAATGTTTGTATGTGAAAATCCATCCATGTATACACTCGCAGTTTGTTCCTATGGACTCCTTTAATTGTACATTTTGTTGGTCCTTCCGATTCCATTTGAGTTGGTAATATTTGTATTTTATTATAGTTTTTATTTTTCTTACGCTTTCATTAAGTTTCCTAGTTTCTTCTAGAACTGCGTTTATGTTGTTTTACTCGATACTTAGTCTTGGCGGTAGCCATATTGGTTTGCTCCTCCCTTTGATTGTGTTGCTTGTATTGACTGGAATTGTGCATTTTTGATTGCGAATTGCGGCACTCTTCCAGAATTGAAAACACTATGTGTTATAAAGCAACTAAATATCATCTTTTGAAAGAATCTGTGCATGGTCTATCCACACAGGATAGAATAGCATTTATTTGTTGTGATTGATTTGATTAATTGAACAACTGTCGGTTGGATAGCTGGGAGGCCATATTTGTTTAGGTAACAATGTACATTTAAACTTAAGATTAATTTCAGAACCGCCACTTTACCCATTCACTTTCTTTTGGCTTCAACCTGGCAAGGGCGCGTATCTAACCCACCTAGACAGCTATTCTTTAGTCCAAACCTTATTTTTTATCTAACAACTATAATAATATTAGTAGTGTAATGAATATCGACCTTTGAAGTGATTTTAACAATGTACCTACTAGATAGAGCTCAGAGTTTAGGAAAGCGATCAGCTATTGAGTAGTCTTTAGTGTGCGTAGCCAAATGTCTTACAAGAACTATAGCTACACTATTGGACCGTTATCGTGCATTTATGTGTTGTTATAGACACTCTTCTCGACAGTGATCACCCTGTGTTGCCATTTAGGTACATATCACATAACGTACTGATCTGTTGCAACTGCCCAAATTCCTAGAGGTCAGGTGTTTCTGATATAGACTATTGTGCTAACTTTCGATGCGTTATTCCTTATACCATAGCAGGTAAAGTATTGAAAAAAAATAATTCGGGAAAAGTCGCTTGGTCAAGTATAATAACATAATCTGTGGACTGCAGAACAACGCGAATTTCACAAGAAATATTCATCGTTGGCCAACTATGGGGTTTATTACAGACATACTAAGGCCACAGATACACTTATTCTGATACACGATATTTAACTGAGCGCGTGACCGTCTAATGCATTAAGCTCGTTACATTGGTCAACCTGTGATCAATTGTCCGGCTGATTCGAATCCCTTAAATGTGATCACTTCTAACATTCCCTTGTCTGATTATCTGTCTATATATTTATCTATATGTTAATCATATTTCATCATTATATCGATTTATAATAACTTGACACTGACTAATTGACATACTGGGAAATTTTTATTCATTTCAATAAAATACAAACTAAACCTGTCTAGCGCAGTTCTATAAGGATTTCACAACAATGCAGTTTCTGAATGTTCTGTTCCCAGTTATATTTCTATTATAATACAATTGTTAGTCATTCCAAGTGTCAGCGTCAATATAAATTCGATCTAGTTACAAGGAAGTCCAATTCAGGAATTCTTTCCCTATGTAGTGGTAAATAAATCCCAAAATAAATAACTCTATAAGTCTTCCACATTCGATGCTGACCAGATTAGTTTTCATGGACCCACCTAGCTGAAGGCGCTCGGTCATGCATCCGCACTAGATCACGAGTGGGAACGCCATGCTCAACACCTACTGCAATCGCTAGCCAGATTAGATCAGACAATCCCAGATATATTGATAGTCCAGAAAGTGTATCTTCGAGACTCTTACCTTCTGTCTTTTGATTTCACTTAGTGGGTACGATTAATATTAGGTGTTACTGGTTAAAGCGTTGTCAAAATCCGAATACCTGTGGCATCTTCATTGGTGAGCCTAGCGTAATCTGGTACATCAAATCGCAAACTGTGAGTCTGTTCCGTTTTGGGATTCTATATA